ATGTGAAATCTCAGTAATATGACCAACAAGGACAATTTTTGAATGGGCAAAAATGATCCCAAGATGCAACGAACAGTCCAGTCACTTTTCTTTCGTGATCGTGGCCAAGGTGATGACAATATAAAAATGTGCATGAGTTTGTGGGGACAATGGAGTGAGAAGAGGAGAAACAGGTTTGAGCTGATGCTATATAATAGAGCTTCACATTGATTTTTAAACAGCATTTATTAAAATAATCTCTTCCTCTTTTCCTACAAACTAACACCCTAAATATGGTTTAGTCAAAGGCAGTATCTCATCACAGGGCCTCTCCAAACCCAATCTGAACAAAAATCATAATCAACATATGCTGAGATAACGTACTTTGCTATAAGAATGGCAACATCCTGAAACTGAATGTAATGGCCAACCGACCGTCCATGTCATTTTTATTCCTTCCTATCCATCCAAATTCAACCCACTAAACTACCGTCTGAAATATCTTCCAGAGCCGCCTCGTATCACTTATGCCCTTGTTCTTAATTCCACCAAGCCATTTCTCTCCAGCTACTGCCTGGGGTGTCATTCTTAAATTGTATGAGATTTACTGATATTACCTGAATTGAGTTAATATAGCTTGCTAATTTGTCATACTCACATGTTTCTTAAGCTTACTCTATTTATTACTTTTAATGCATTCTGAAAGCTACTTTTGGACAGTGAATTAACCATTTCAGGACTCCAAATCATCTTTTGATTTGGTTCCCAATAAAACTATTCAGACTTGGAATTGTATTTTGTTTTTTGTTTGTAGTGGGGATTTGTCTGTGCTGATGCATTTATAATGTTTAATAACTTCCTTAGCAATTAAAGGCATGATGACCAGAAGCAAAATTACAGAATTCAACAGAATAATTTTTCTTTCTTTAGCAAGTCAGCTGATAAGTTTACAGGAGATACAATTTTTGATATGATGTCATTATCAGTAGGATCTCTAAAAAATACAGTTAACCCAAATGACTTACTACCATAGAACGACTTACAAAGAAAACTTTCAAAACTAAGAAAATGTGTTGGATCACTTAGCTCTAGGTATTTCAATAAGCATACAGATAGCTAGGTTTTACATTCCAATTCTTAAGGCCATGTCAATCAGTTATCCTAAATCTAACGAAATGTGAGTGCAACAAAATTAATAACGTGAAAACCAGATACCAGTTCATTTAATGACTTCTTGTTGTCCAGTAGTGTTTAATGAAGCCAAAAGGAAAATTCAAACAAAACTTTAACATTCCAAGAGTAATTGGGAGAATTATTTTAATATAAATAGCTTTTTAAAATCCACTAAGCAAAAATCTATAGCTTAACAAAGTAAAAATTTTTAAATACACAGATTCATATTGCCAAATATATATGTCAAGTGGGTATTATCCATTAAAATTGCCATGGTTAGCTCATATGATTTTTTTTGTGCTATTCTATTATGAAGAGGTTTTCTTGCAATCTTTCCTTCAGAAATATTTTCAAATAATCCATATTACTGTAATGTTATATCTGATATCGAAAATGTAAAAAAATATAAAGTACAAACAAAAAAATTTATAGGACACTTACAAAAAAATTTATAGGATGGAATTGGTGGTGGAAGGTAGGCAGTTAATAGATAGTCTCCGTCATCCAACTCTGATACCATATATAAATCTTAGCTATTGTGCAGTTAGTTTGCTAAGCAATATTCCAAGATAAATGACAGTAACTTCCTAGGTCTATAGCAGAAACTGTTATACTTAAGTATTGCACATGGTTGTCAAACAGATTGGGCATAACAGGAAGAAGATTAAAACACTTGAGAGAAAATTATCCATGCGTTACAACAAATATTCTCAATTCACTAGAAAATAGAATCTGAATTTCATGCTCAGAGTTTTTCAGTGAGGAAGTAGAGAAGAAAAGGGATACCCTAGCTATTCCAGGGAAGAAAGTTTATAATAACACAGTTCTAAATCATGTAAACAATTTTAGGCTACAATGAAGTGATTTTTGCCTGAGTAACCTAGAAAATCATTTGTGTTTCCTCTTGAACCACGCTACTAGAAAACACTATTGAGAAATATTAGTTTGTGTGTAGTATGAATGGCTTTACATGTAGCAAATATAGGCAAATAAAGGAAGACAGATTTTTATGCTAGCAAAGTTCCTATCTAGGCTTTTGAAGCTTCTGTTTATAATAACCCTGCCTTTTAAATTAATCGTTCTCAAAGTTATTCATATAAAATGTTCAAAACACACTTTTTAACCTTACACTAAATCTTATATCTATGTCCTTTACAATTGATTCCTTTTTTAGATAAATTTTTAAAATGTTCTCTTCCTTATAAATGCTTCCACAAATGAAAATAAAACTACTTTAGATTAAGAAAGTTCATTATTTACAAAATCAAAGCAATGAAACTGTAAGTCTATGTCAGTGTTTCTCAACTTCAGTATCCACTGTAATCATCACTTGAGGTGATGAACACAAACCACTGGGCCCTACACTCTGAGTTCCTAATTTAGAAAGTCTCAGAGGGACCGGAAAACGTGCACTTCAAACAAGTTTCAGGACAATGCTAATGCTGAAGACTAGGGGCCTAATCTCCTTTGAGAACCTAACTTCTGTGACAGGTAACACGTATCTGAAAAGTAATATATAATTTTTAACCCATCTCATAGCTGTGACATTTATAATGGCCAGGAATACTGATTAATATTTTTCACACAAAAGCAATTCTATTCCTAGCTACATGACTAATAACCACATCAATATAAAAACAAAACTAAATGAAAAAGACCACCACCTTCATCACAATCATCAGCTCAGTAGTGGAACTGCCTCCTTGTTTATTGTTAACAGACATAAACACAGAGTTATTTTAATGCTATTGTTTCCTATTTGTCTTCACTACCAGATCTTACCCTTTTCCACTACCCAATCTGAGACTTGCCAGGACAAATAATCTGAATGACAAAAAGTGACAGGAAAATGGAACCATGCCCTTCCGATCTAGATAGTTTTCAGCATGTCCCACTGTCTCCCCATGCCCCCAACCTTTCTCACTTCTCATCACCCCGTCACACACACATACCTTCACACATGCATATACACAAATCTGAAAAACACACCAGAACAAAAAATTCCTTTTAGCTAAGATGATCTGAATCAATGAGAGAGGAATACAGAGTTGGGCATGGGATGAGAAGTATTCAGACTTTCCCATCCTAAGGAACAGCCCCTTGAGAAGGCTTTATCTCCAGCATTCCCACATCGCTAGAATCCCTATTTTTCTCAGCCGTTCAGAGGGCACCGGGGTCCAGGATAGTCACAAAAGCACTAAGTTAATTCCTACTCTTTTCAGGCCCCACCTCCTGTTCTCAGTCAAACCTTGAGGTTTGCCAGGAGACTCAGCATCTCTCTCATACACACTTCCCCCCCTTACCACAGCCACCACCACCACCAGACAGTTGTCTTTCATTTGGGAAGGAGGGGTTGGGAGAGAGGACATCCGATCCTTAGAGATGGGAAAAAGTGAAGGTTTCTTGGAAGCCAAGAAGGCAGCTAGAAACACAGGAAAGGGGAGGAGCAGATGGAGTGCAGTGGGTACCAGAGCTCACCTCAGCACTGTTCAGTCCTGGACAGAACACAGTGGACAGAGTAAAGGCTGGGTCTGTGGCATTCATCCCCAAACACCCACCCACTGTGCACTCCGTTCCCAGAGAGTTTGAGGACTCAGGATTCACTGGCACCTGTGTCCACTTTGCAGTCAGTTCTAGGGTCTGCAGGGAAAGCTCTAACACTTCCACAAATATTCATTCCTTTTTGCTCTGGGTCAGCCATTGACTTAGTCCTGCAGCACCAGAGTCCAAACACCTAAGTGAAACCAAGGGCAAGTGGCCTGGATTTTCAGCACACATTCTGCGGACACTAACTCAGGGGCGAGGGGTGGGATTGGCTGTGGGTGGGTCTTGGCTTGATGTCCCCTCAAGGGGTGCACCTCTAACCTCCCACCATACCTCAAAAACACGGAAGTTATTTTTTGGGCACCACCTGCTTGTCCCAAGAAAAGACTTACATTTTAGTCCACTATAAACATGACCTGGATATGTGTGTGTGTGTGTGTGTGTGTGTGTGTCTGTGTGCATGTGTGTGTTTCAATCCCGAAAGCTAAGGGTGCCAACTGCTGACAGGCAAAAGAACCTGAATTTGCTTTTGAGGACTTCAAAACCTCCTAATTAACAAGCTTGCCCTTCTCTAGCTCCTAAACCGAAATCTGGGTTTTCCAGAAGGGAGATGAGATTGTGTTCCCGCTGCAGCGAGCTGGTGTCCTGCCCTGGAACCCAAACGCGCGGACTTAGCAGTCCGTTCATTCATGCATTTGCTCATCCATTCACACAAACATGTCCCTTAATTGTGTCTGGCACCGAGAATCTTGTCTGCTATTTTCCCCTCCCCAAGTCAGTGCTCATGGCAACGGCTGGTGCAGAACGCAACTCAACTGTCACCCCACTTCCTGAGCCGGAAAATCAAGGCATGTAGGCATTCACAGAAAAAGGAAAAGGTGGAGAGGAGGCGGAGAGGGGTGGGGAGACTCACGGGGTCACACTGGAAGCTTCCCTGGAGGGGTGGGGGGAAACCGCGACACCGACACCGTGGCATGCAAGGAGCCAAACCATTATTAAATCAAAGACTGCTGGAGCTCGGATTCCCCGCGGGGATAAATCAAGTGCAAAGCCACTCGTTCGCACGAGTGCGTTGCTGCCGGCTAGACCCAACTCCGAGCCGGAGCCCAGGCGCCGGGGGAGCGGCTCGCAGCCCAATCCGCAGCGCGCTCGCTGCCTCCTTATCGCTCCCAATAACGTGATGAAGTGTAAATCAAATGCCACGCCGGGAGGGGCCCCAGAACGGCGCGAGTCGTGCATTTTCGCTCACCAGCCTATCTTGCCTAAGAATCACAAGGTCACGATAGCGTCGCGATTCCACTCACCGTACACTCCTTGGCCAGAGATCCCCTCCAGGAGGACTGTCAGCAGCCACACGAGACCGTACAGTAAATCCATCTTCACGTGAACATGAACATATCCAGCCCAGGGGGGACGCAGCGGGACCTTCCGGAGGCCGGCGGCCAGCCAGGCGCGCTCCACTCGCGCCCGGGCCGAGCCGAGGTGCCCGGGAACCGCTCGCCGAAGGAGGAAGCGCCGTCCGTCTGTCCTTCCCCGGCGGCGGCCGCGAGCGGAGCGCAGGAGCCCCGCACTCCAGACACTCATGCACACACACACTCACACACACTCACACACTCTCCCACAACACAAAACCCTGACACACTCACACGCACGCCGCACTCACACCGGGTGCCTGGGAAAATCGCAGACGCCGGGGAGGAGCAGGGGGCGGTGATGGGAAGGGGAGCTGCGAAGCGAAGTGTTCTTCAGGGAAGCGGGCTCGAGTCTCCGCAGCGGCGGCGGCGACGGCGGCGCGCTGGGCTGGCGGGCGCGGGCAGGGGGCCGGGGGTGCCGCGCGGTGGGAGCCTGGCTTGGACAGCCGAGGAGCAGGAAGTGGCCTCTGACCCGGGACACCGAGCAGGGCTCTCTTGCCTGGGTTCGCCTTTACAAAGTAACTCGCGAAGGTCCCCGGAGGGGCGTCAAGCGGCGACAGCGGCCCGCCCGCCCGCAGTCCGAAGCCCCCAGCCCTGCTGTCTTGCCTTCCCCCATTCCATCAGTTGCCATTGCAACGCCAATCCTGTTACACGATACAGACTCGCATCGCCGAACGGGGAGAGGAGGAAGAGGAGGAGGAGGAAGAGGAGGAGTGGGGCTAGGGGAACGGGGGTGGGGAAGAGGGAAGGGAGGAGAGGGAAGAAGGAGGAGGAAAGGGTCCAACAGGGAGCGGAGTGTGCGTCTGGAGCTCGCTTGGGCACACCAGCCACTGCCGCCGCCGCCACCGCCACTGGTCTCCAAAATAGCCTTTAGCGCCCCGCCAGCGTAGAGGTGCTCTGGCCGGCCGCACCAATTCCCGGAGCCGAAAGCAGAGTCCAGGCACCGCCACTTGCAAGAGAGGGAGAATGCCAAGCAAATACCCGATCCGCACACGTCTACGCGTGCCCACCGGCACTGCGCGCGTCCTCTTCGCTTCCGCGCCGCCCCCGCCAGGTGGAGGGGGTGGGGGCGGTCGGGACAGGCGGGAGTTTAGAGGAGGGAGCCGCAGAAGGGGTTCCCCGCTTGAGCTAACGTAGTGGTGGCATCCAGAGGTGAACGCGGGAGCGGCCGCCTGCGGAGGGCACCCGGCTGCGTGGCGTCCGCTCGGGCCGCTGCTGCGGCAGAGGTGCCCTGGCTGGGCTGCTGGGCGCCCGGGGCTAGACGCCGGCCGGGATCCCTGGGTGTGCGCGGAGATGCGCGCCGCGGAGGCGAAAGGAGGGAGGAGGAAAAGGAGAAGGAGGAAGAGGAGGAGGGCGAAGCGGCGAGCGCGGAGCGCAGGCGGACCGGCTGCCGGGCTGCTGGGCTGCTGGGCTGCCGGGGAGGAAGGCTGTGTGTGGTCACGTTGTGCGCTACGTGCTGAGAGCGCGAGCTGCTAGCCGCAGCCGGGCGACGTCAAAGCCGGGTGCGCGGCTCTGCCGCCTGCCTCCGCGCCTCCTCTGCCCCTCCTTTGCTCTGCCTTCCTGTGTCAGCCCAGCTCATCAGTATGGACAACGCCGAAAGGCTCCGCGAGGCCGGCGGCATCAGGCCTCCAACCTCCCCCGCCGAAGGGCTCCCTCGCCTCTTGGGGAGCTCCGCGGCGGCTAGTGCCGGTTATGTATTTCTGATGCCGCCGTCTGCGTTTGCACGCCGAAGGGCCAGCTACCCACCTTACACCCGGGGTAATTACATGACACGCTATCTCCTCTCCGCCGCCCAAGGTCTTCCAGGATCCGTTATGCTTGACTAGAGGGCAGAACAGGCCACAGCATTTGGAAGTGGCAACGTTTCTTCTCTATTTCTGTCTTCTTTAAAGGAAGTATGGTCATCACAGTAGATGAAGGCTCTGGGGGAAGGCACACTAGGAGTTCAGAGATTCGTTTATTTTATATGCAGTGTCTCCTACTAAAGTTAACTGCTTGGAAAATCTTTTCCTTGTGTGAAAGACAGGCTCTTTTGTTGGGGCAGAGGTAGCTGTAATGTTTAAGGGGTTTTAAAAACTTATAGGTACAAAAGGATTAGAAAATCTAAAGCATCTTTAATTTACATTGCAACAAGTGTGGAAATACTCCGCTAAAAATTAATAGGGAACATCTGGGAATATAGTAGTGGTTGATTTTTTTCTGTAACCGAGATAATAATGTTTCCTGTATGCAGTCCACTTTGTTGAAAATATTCTTCACTATTCAAACAGCATATGGGTAGGAAGTGATTGGAATGGTTTAAAACGCGCATTTGTACATGTGTTACAAAAGTAATTGCTATGGGAAATCTGGAGCACAGTATTCATTTATCTGCTCCCATAATAGACTAGTAGAACACACTGCAGCTCCCTCTCCCCATGCTGTACTTCTGCTGGGGGCAGGGGACCCTAAGCACTAGAAAATGCTTAGTCCCTAGTCTTTCCCCCAAGGTCCTTTTCCTCACTTAAATGAATGGTGCATATTATTTTTTATAGAGTGCGATTTGGTGCTTACCCTCTGGGTTTACAAGATATGAGAAACCAAACATTTTGAGAGGGTCCCCCAGAGGATCATTCACGCAGTGTTGAGAACCCGTTATTTATGAAATTCCACTTTCACTAGATGGTATTAAGCGTCATGCTATAAATAAACTCAGTGTGTGCGATTTCTGAAGAAAAATGAGTGATGCTCACTTACTGGTCACCTGTGGCATAAAAATTGTCTCATGATTTTAGAAATCTGCCTTTTGTGGGTAGATCATTCCTGTACACTTGCAGCACAGTAGCTTCATGGGGCAATAAACCGCACCTCCTTTCTCAGATCAAAGCTCATAATGTATCTTGTCCATCAGGCTCTTCCTGATTTCAGCTTATCATGTTCTGAAGTAGTACTTCACCCCCATATTTGTACTGTACTTTTAAACACGTAGTTATGGAATCATAGGATCTTTGAGTGTGTGAAGAACTATAGATTGGGATACTTTGTCATCCCCAAACGTCAGTGTATCATTTTAGGAGAGCCCAGACTGAGTATGGAGATTACTCTTCTTAACCTTCAACATTTGAACAGAGCCTTAGGAACCCAGGACCTTTCTTTTCCATATAATGCTCATCTCTGCAGAGGAAGGAACATGCACCCAGTGAGCCCTCAGCAACGCCTGAGTGAAATCTTTGGAACTTGGAGAGAACTTAGAGAACCCAGACAATTTACAATTTATTCCAGTTGTAGTTTAAATTAAAAATGAGGAAATAGCTAGATGCAGCTACACTTTGCTGGGCCTTATCCTAGACCGTTGTACACTTGAAGATTTTATAAGACATATTTCCTTCCTTCAAGAAGCACACAATCTAGTGAACAGAGTGCATTGGTCAACATATGCACCATTACTTCTACTGACACTGTAAGTGCTGCAAATAAACAAAGTCCTAGGGCACAAAGTGGCAAATTTTACATGCAATCATTAAATGGCTTATATAACAGTTTTTTTAATGCACTGGATTTAATATGGGTTTTCAGTTCCTGTGAAAATGCTTCATAGATTACGTATGGAAATAATTGCCAATTCAGTCAAATGACATTTTTTTGCTTCTTGAAATTCAACATTCTTCAGGTTGCACTGACCAGCCAGACATAATATATATAACCACACCTTAGCACTGGCTAATGAAGGCCTCCAGGTGGTGAGCCTGAGCTGAAGCTTAAGGACAGGCAAGAGATGCTTTATCAGAGAGAAGGGAAAAGCTATAGAAGGCAGGCCCAGAGACTACTATGAAATCTGGCCCAGCAAACTTTATATCGCCCATTAGAACAGTTTTCTACAGGAGTAGTGTAAATAATTTCAGAGATCACCAGTTTCTTGGATTTTTCACAGTGAATATGGATGTTGCATAGAGCATAAAAAATCCCACATAAACTGTCATCATAACCTGTTATCATTTTATTGAGTATAGTTTTATTTAAAATTTCTGTCTCCATTCTCCAATATGAGCTTGATGTTCCAACCTCCATAGCTTGGAGGAGGCATTGTCATGGAAAGAGTCACAGGTTGGCACAAGACCCAACCAAGGTAGTGGGACAGAAGTAAGAAAAACTGCTGTCTCCAGAGATACAGTTGAGTAAGGCAAATTCAGAACAATGGGGACAAATCCGTCTTTCTTTCCAACTTAGCCTCTTCCCAGAACACAAATCTCAGGCCCTGTTTGTTGTTTACATCAACTTCCATTTTCCCTGCCGCCCTTTAAGTCACACAAACTCCCATACACACTATTGCCAAACAAGAATGTGAAAATCCTCAGTGGTGATGGTAAATTATTTCTAGCCAAATCCCTGTTCACCTGTTTCTTTCTTTCTACTTAGTAATAGCTTCCAGCATGCAAGCTTAGAAGTCTAAAAAGCATCACGTAGAACTGGCTGTTTCAGGTGATAGTAAAGCCATGAGGTGCAGAACAGCATTGGAGATTCCAGGTGCTGGTTATTTCAGGCAGATAGGGGGCAGTTGCTCCTAAGCAGTGGGACCCAGATACTGCTGTTAGGTATGAGACAATGATTTCACTTAGGGAAACAATTATCTCTCAAGAGGGCTTTAGTGAGAACAAAAAGAGGAATAAGAATAGTTAATTCTAATATTAGAAATAAGGAGGCAGGTCAAGTCCCAGATCCCCACTGTATGGACTGAGAAAGGTCCAGGAGAGATATTCAACTTGAGGAAGCAACAAAATACCCAAAGAACAATCCCTGGAGATAGCAAATCCGGGGTGCAAATAGAAAAGGAGGTACCCAGGAAAAGCTGTATATTTGGATACCGTGAGAGGATGCCAAGATAATTTGTAACCAGATGATGGGGCTGAGGTCTCAGATATTTTGTGGCTGCCAGTGAAGAGTATCTAGCTAGGAAAAGAAGAAGGAGAGGCAGAAAGCATGAGGCAAGGGTCTTGGTATTCTAGATATTCTATCTTCAGCTTAAAGTAGCAGCACATTTCTGTGAATTTTTACTTGTTTGGTAAATGCCATCCCTTTTTCAAGCCAGACATGCTAGTCCCTAATTTCAACTTTCATGATTTTGTGTACCACTCATGATTTCTATACAATTTGTATCTTGAACCTATAATTATTTTTTAAAAGACTACCCTTAGATACCATATCCTGGGTAATTTTAGTAGCCCTGCCCTAGATTTATTCTTATTCTGGCATGTCTACCTTGAACTCTTATTATAATTCTGACACTATTTCAGGAACAGACACAAGGCTGATTTGTTCCAGAGTAGAAGATGTTCAGTGCAGGGCAGTGTG